GCTCCCCGGGCCCCGCCGCGCCGGGCCCTGCCCCCCCAGGCCTGCGGGGGGCTGAGGGGAGGCCCGGGCGGGCCGTGGCCGCGCTCCCTCAGCTCCGCCTCCCCGCTTGTTTTGCCCGAAATCCTCAGGGTGTGACGTGGGGCTCCTGCACAAAATACCCGGGTTGCTCAATATTCGCCAAACATGCGTTGACAGGCGGGAAGGGGGGTGGTCACCCCCAGGATCTGCGGGCCGGGCCTGCTGGGCCCTGGGGCTGAGCTCCCTGGGGTGCGGCCAAGGCTGGGTTTGGGTTCTTGGTTTTTTATTGTTCGTTGGTTGGTTTTGTGTGTTTGTGTTACAGAAATACCGGAAAACGTAGCCTTGTCTCCTTCCCCCATCCTGAGTTGTTTTCCTCTTCATTTCTTTAACGAGGCTTGGGCAGATAACTCGGGTTAAATTGCTTAGTTCCTGCTGCAAAAGGAGCTTTCTCTTAGAATGTCCAGCAGGCGTTTGAAAACAGTTTTGATTTTAAAAATATACAGGAAAATAATAATAAAAAAGAAGCACTAAAATGACGGGAACTGCCCTTCCCTTTCAGAATCGACATATTTTGTACAGAATTTGTGTTAACAGCTGTTTACTGAACTTCAGTCCCCAGGGAAGCTGCCTTCAGTGTGTTTGTGGTGTTCTGCACTAAGAAGCCATGCAGCAGCATTTGGCATCAATCTCGGTACAGCTGTAGATCTCCAGAGGGAGAAAGGAGGCAAAATTCACTCTGCTGATGTGCCTTGTTGTGTTGGTTTTTTTCTGGATTAAAAAATAATATGGATAACCTTGGATTTACTGCACTGGAACATAGTGTTAAATACATTAGTACTTTGGCACGTAGTGTAATTGGCCAGATCTTCCTCTGATGTAAGTCTGTATAATTGTGCTGAAGTCTGTAACCCTCACTTGACATAATGAGAAATGGCTCCCTTGTGGGAAAATTATGTCCTGGTGATATTGTCTCTTTAAAAAAATAACTCAAACCACAAAGCATACTTAATCTTTGGAAACATGAACTAGATGATCTCCTGAGGTCTCTTCCAGCCTGGAATATTCTGTGTTTCTATGCTGCTGTTGGTTGTTCACACAGTATTTTGCAGGGAAGAGTCCTGGTTCCTAACTGAAGTCACTTTGTACAGGGCAGCAGTACAGCCTGCTAAACTGGGGGAGGTGGAACTGGGGTGATACACAACCACAAGGTCAAGTGGTGTGTTACAGCACAGGCTGTGTTACATTTGGCCTGGATTACTGATTCTGTGCCAACCCCAAATCTGCTGAGCACTACTGTCACACCACAGATTACAGGAAAATAGGCACTGGTAAACTGCACAGTTTGTTTCTAGTTGTATTTAGTGCTTTTTTACATGTATCACAAATGTATCAATCCAATATCTCATTTATATTCTTTCTTTTTTTAATCTCACATTGCATAACGATTTTTACTTCTACTACCATTTCTTCCCCACAGGTGGAGAAATGGAGGCACGAATACCTTAATACCTACATTTTCAGGCTTGCTTGATTTGCAAAACAGTAGCCCACCTCTTCCAGAGTTTTAACAGTGTGAAATCTTATGGAACAGTGCTAGTGCATTTTGGTACTGGAATGATGACTACTCTAGAAGGTGATTACTAATTGTTCTAGATTTCTCTCACACTTTGCTATCTGAAGTCAGCCCCCTCAGCCTTTAGGTCTAATTACATATTTCTGGTTTGGCAAGATACCAAGATGTTGCAAGGAGGTTTGGATATGTAACTCCCATCATTATTTCCAGTCACTAATTTTTCCAGTTTCCAGTATGTTTCAGATGTTTCTAGTAGCTAATAGGTGGAAAGGCCTGAAGGAGAACACAGGTTATTTGATTCCATGGCCTGGTGATGGATTTTTTTTTTTTTTGACCCCACTTGTTCTGCAGGTCAGGCTTGATTCTGTACTACTGGAGTCAGTGGAAATGGTGTTGACTTTGGTAGGAGCAAAACATCAGGCTGCTAACAGTGGGCTGTGACAGAGCAATGCCATTGTTCTATCAAGAGAGCAATGCAGGATTACTAACATGATACATAAAGAGCTGTTGTTTTACAACAGCTTTGATTTTGACATTAGCTTGTTCTGATGCTGATCTGTGTAGTTCAGTCAAGAGCAATTATATGGTATGCTCACTTGGTGAAGACTCTGGTACCCTCCATTGTGTTATGTGGTGCTATGCCAAGTCTTTGGGCAGCAGATGCAGGAGCATGGCCACATGGAACACCTGGGAACTGATGTTCAAGAGCAAAGCCTCCTTGGTGCCATACTTGAGAACATGATAAATGAAAGAGTTTGTGATGCCTGCAGTTTCAGAAGAGAGCCAGTGTTGGGGTAGACCTGGTCCAACAGTTGCATTCATAGCTGGAGCAGCTCTCCTTCCTGCTCTTGCTGTGCTTCTAGTAATCTTTCTTCCGGCTCTTACTCTTTGGAGCCCTTTTCCAGGGATGGAGGGGCATGGCTGTCTCAGGTTTTTGCATGTTGCTGTTTCTGACAAACAGAAATGACTTAGGATTTCTCAGTCTCCCAGGTTACTCCAAACATTTTGCTTGGTTCCTGAGAAGCTGATACCCTGATGTTTGATTCATCACTAATTTCCTATCTCTTAAATGTTGCTGAACTGACTAATGCCCTTTTATTCTTCAATAGCTGTCAAGAATAAGCAAAATTATACTAATGTGCATGAGGCAGTGAAAGCTGGTGATGTGGAACAGCTTGCAACAATGATAAAAAATGGAGCTGGTATTAATGAGATGGATTTAGCCCACAAATTCACACCATTGCACTGTGCTGCACACTCTGGAAGTCTAGAGGTAAAACATGATGTTAATGTTCATAGACAGCAAAGTTTTATAGGTTAATGATTTCTTTCTTTGGGAGAAGCTGGACACAAAATTGCCACATTTGATCATAGGAAATCATAATCTCTGCTTGTTTTTCTCATTAAATAATCAAGAGCAGAACTACAGGATTTAGGTTTTTATTTTGCCTTTTTGATGTCCCTAGCAGTTAATGTTGCCAGATTTTACAAAATCAGTGATTTTCTTACTCTGAGTAAAGTGTGCCCTGTGGTGCCCCTATTGTGTCTTCATCCTCTCTTGGGACACCTAGAAAATCCTGTAAAATGTTCTGCATGTGATTGGAACAGGTGAGAAGTGACATGAAAACATGATAATTCTCTTTAGTAATGTCCTGTCCCATGCCTCACTCTCTTAGAAACAGTCCTAATACATTTTATTTTAATAAATAAATCCATTGACTATTGATGGAGAAATCAGCAGGTTCTTGCACGAGTGTTTTGAACTTCCAGGAAGACTAAGCTGCTCTGTCTGGCACAGCATTCACCTTCTTGTTGCAGCCTTCTCACACAGTCTTCGTAGAAATCTAACCTTGAAGCAGCAAGGCCATGATTAACCATATAAAAATCCTTGTCCCAAAGAAAAGAATGTAAAGTTCTTGCTAAAATCCAGAGATATGTGCAGTGCTCTTACTGGAATGCACAGAAACTATCAAGAAAATGCTGAATGTTGTCAACCCTGAAAACAGATTGTTAACCCACCCTTTTCTGCCTCTATAATTTTACCATTTTTCATTTGACTCTCCTACTTTGCAATCAATGGATTAGACTTCATTGAATCACCTGTCATCTGTTTGTTGCTAAGCTCCTTGGTGGGAACAGCAGAGGAACCAGAATGGCAGACTGGCCTAAAATAAGATAATCAATCATCATAGTATATAATAGAAAGTTGTAACTGGTCCTCAAGCTAGTTTTGGGTAGTCCATAAAGCTTTCTATTGCAAGCAAAAGTATATGCTGGAAAAAGGTGAATAAGCAAAACTAAGTTATGGAAGCATGAAAAGAGAGATGGGATTGTGTACATCTAAGGAGCCTAATACATTAAATGAGGCTTTTTTTTCCTGTCAGTAGTTTTAGCTGTTTTTTTTCCAGTGCTTTTACCTCATGCCTTTTAAATACTCTCACAGATGACAATTTAAATCTGGAAGAGTGAAATTAAGAAACTTTACTGTAAAATCAGTGTTAGGTTCTGAATTAGTAGGTTATTTGCACACTTGGGTGAAACTTGGAAAGTGCAACCTCTAAGTTCCTATTGCGCAGGGTCTGGCTGAGCTGCTCTGGGGTGTTATATTTCCATAACAAAGTATTCCAGTACTGTTTTGAAATGTAACACAGGGTGATAGATTGTAGTTAAGATGTGCCTCAGACAGATGATAAGGTTAAATTAAAGGCTTGTTTTGGTTGAGCAGTGCCTCCACTGGTTGCTCTGGCATGGAGCTGATACAACACTGAGAACGGTCCGGGGCTGGACTGCAGCTCACCTTGCGGCTCTCCGAGGTCAGGATGCTTGCATGCAGGTACGTGTAAATATTCACTCTCAAGTGACAGTAAGCAGGGCAGTCGTTCCGTTTGGACAAATTCATTATGAAGATCAGCTGAGAGAGCTCCTAATGGAGGTATGAGTATCTCATCTTGATGTCCTTACATCTGGAATCAACTCTTGCGAAAACCAGTACCCTCATTTGCGCTATCTGTGTACGGATCTATTCTGTGTAGTGTCAGGGCCCTGAGGTCAGCCCAGGGTGATCCTGCTGATCATCTCAAGTCATCCTGCTAGGAAATATTTGCTTGTTCTGCTTTTGAACTGAAGTTCTGCTTTGCATTTCTTCTAGGCTTTGTTAAGAAATGGAGCAAACCCAGAAGCTGAAGATGATCGTGGGTGCACGCCATCACACCTGGCTGCAGCACATGGGCAGTCTTACACCTTGCAAACCCTGCTGCGAAGTGGAGTGGTGAGAGGCTTTTACCCCCAGATTAAACTGAGATTGAGGACAGTAGATTAATTACTAGTATGTTATTGTTGCTGAATTTATTTTTACTTTTAAATTATAAATTATGAGGGAAATGATCCAGAAACCTAGAGAGAATCAATCACGTGAGTAAACCACGTTCTACTGAGGGTGTCATTAAATGAAGATTAGGCACTGTGGTGGGTGTCTTTTTTTGCAGTTGTGCAAATTTTCTATAGCAAAAGAGACATATACTTAAAAATAAAATGAATCTAGGTGCAGTGATAGAAGTATGTCTAAAAAAATCACCTTTTATATGTATATTTTTAAAATGCACCCAAGAATCCGTCAAAAGTATCTATGTTGGAATGGGAACTAGCTGGCAGTTGAATAAACTGAATAAAGCTATTGGATTTTATTTCCATAATTTAACACAATGAACAGCTGAGTACTATTTAAAAAATTTGTTGTGTGTCTAAGATGCAGAAACCAATGAATTAACTTGTTGCTTTCATTTTAGAATGTAAATGTTTCAGACAGGAATGACTGGAACCCTGTTCATTATGCTGCTTTTCATGGTCGCTTGGGGTGTTTGCAGCTCCTTGTTAGATGGGGAGCGTGTATAGATGATGTGGATAACAATGGAAACCTTCCAGGTATATCAGGATAATTCATACAGTTTGGTTTACAGTTTTGTGTGATATCATAATTGTAGCAAATTATAAATACTGCACACCAGCAGCATTTGCTAGTTGATTCCGTGCACTCACCATTGTTATTCCATTTTTGGAATGGAATGAGGAAACTTATAAAATCCAAAGTATGTGTCTGTCAGTGATAGGATCTTGTTTACTTCTTGCTGCTGGTGGTGAGGATCAGAACTCACAGGTGCAGGAACAGGGAGGAGGCTGGGCCTAGCTGAGAACACTGTGTATGTAGGTAGGTGGGCAGCCTCTGCTCTGCATGTGATAGAGTGGATGTGCCAGTGGAGGTCACAGGAGAAGGGTAGGTGGAGCAGGAGGCAGCTGCTCTATGCTCCTTTTTGAATTTGTGCCCAGCTTTAATGGCTGTGCCAGTGTGATCAGATTCTGGCATGTTAAATTTGCAGGTTTTTGAATCCCACTGTTTCTTAACTGATTTGGTAAAATGTTTGTTCTCATCTACCTGTGATTTCTTCATCTTAGTTTCTAGAATATCAATATTCTGTGTTAAATGTAATCTTTACTCTTTTCATAATCACGAGTGTTGTTGCTCTAGCACAAAAAATAGGCAATGTTTGTTCCTTGCCCTTCCTAGTTTCTCCCGAGTCCTTCTGCTTACCACACCACTACCTCAATATCCTCTGTACCTTGTTGTTGTTCATATCCTGTGTTCTCATGTCATTCCTTCCCTTTTAGCATATTCCTTCTTACAGTTTTTCACATTATTTGTTCCAAATGGCATATTTCTTTTTTCTTTATAACTTGTATAGAGTTATATTTTCAAATCCCTTCTTAAAATCTTTTACCCTCTGTTAAGCACCACTTACCTAGTAAACTGCTATCTATGTTCATTTTTGCATATCTGGGTCTTGTTAAAGGATGTGAGGCTCTTGCATCCCAGCAGGACATCTGGTGTATTAGCAATAAGGGGTCAAAATGTGAGGCACCCTGATGTGAGGCAGCATAGAATGTAGCTTTATTTGCAGTTGGGAACACTTCCCTCATAACAAGCTTCTGTGGAGAGGTGGCAAATGCCAGCACAGTTCTACTTACATGCTGGTTTGTAGAAAATATTGTTGTTATTTTGACATCTGCAGAAGATTGATCCTCCAGCCTTTGTTCTGTTTCATTTGATCATAATATCATTTGAAAGCAAGAAAACGCTTTGGAACATTGCTAGTAAAAGATTAATAAAAGTGCTGTGCTGTACAGACCAGCTTTTCCTCAGCTTGGGAAACAGTGAACTTAAATAATCTTTACCTATGTTAGCTTCAAGAGTAGCTGGACAGTGCTGTAATGTTTCCTAAGAGTCTACCAAAAGAAGCTAACTGAGATTGCAGCTCCACACACTGAAAACTTAATAAACTGGTTGCAGCTTTTTTATGGGTGTGTTACACCAGAGGCTTAATTTGCCTATAACATGCTAATACTTCTGAAAAATGTGGCTCATTCAATGTACAGAATGTGCTGTACGTATTAAGTCAGGTTTTTTTTTTCTCTATATTCAGTTTTTGGCCATATCCATGCTTCTTTTATTGCTCACTAGTTAAACCTGTTCTAAATGTAATATTAGTTTAATTGTAGCACAACATCTGAATTTTTCACAGACACTGTTTTTTCACTCACCGCTATGAGAGGAGCCAGTAGTGTTAGCCTGATGGTATAAAAGGCTAGATAAAACACAGAGAAGTTGGGATACCAACAGCAACTACTCACTGCTTATTTGTGATGCCTGAGATGAGGGGGTTTTTAGCATTAAGCCACATATTTTGTGTTGACATCACAGTGCTCTTTGGCTTTCATCTCAGCTGCAAGTGCTCAGCATGCCTGGGGCTGGTGTGGCACCACTAAATATGCTACTAAGCATATTCTAGCCACTAAGAAACACACAAGTTAAAAGCCACCTATGAAAAGCTTCTTCCCCAGCATCCCACTGAAACTGTGCAAAAAGACACAAACAGAATGAAACTCTTTAATATGTTTTCCCCTTGCCTCTATGCAGGAAACACTGATCTTTTGCAACCATTTCCTGCACAGGACAGGCATCTGAATAATCATTTAAAAAGTTTCATTCCCAAAGGTGAAGTTTTATCCCAGAGATTTTAGGTATCTGAAAGAGGATTCATAAAGGTTGAGTCAGTTTTTCACCAGATGACTAGTAATCAGTACTTACTTTTAAGAAGGTACCTCTTCTTTTCACTTATTCCTGAGTAACTAACTGCATATAACTAAGACAATGGGAAAAACTGCCCTGATTTTGATGAAGTTCAGATTTTGTCATGGTAAATTTTAGCAATTTTTTGTACCTGAGTATTGTCGTCTTGCCATAAAACAAATTTACATCACCTTGCAGAGCAATTGTGCCCTGGAAGGCTGTAGATGGTTTGCAATAGAGAATTTGCATGTGCCAAAAATTAACTGAAGTGACATGGGGTTATTTTGGTCCTGGGTACATTGTTTATTAACTATGAAGCTAATGAGATTCTTACCTGGAGACATGCTAACCCTTTGGCCTGTAGAACATCAGCCAGCTTTTACAGAGCATTTTCATGGAGTGATAACACATAATAAACATTTATTTGGCAACTTCTTCTCATTAGTGAGACTAGAGAATACTACTAATTTCAAAATAATGAGTACGTGTTTTGTACCTCTTACTTTGTTATAGGCCCAGCCACTCTAGTAGTATTAAATATCTAAACCTGAGTGTAGACTAAAGGACAGGGAAGGAACCACTTGATGCCCACAGGGAAGCAGTAACTGCCCTGGTGAAGTGTAGCAGCTCCTCCACACAGCAATTGTCTAAAGTAGTTGAAGGAAAACAATGTTTAATAGAAGTACTGTCCGTCTGTCATGGGACATGCCTTCAAATACTTTACTCAGTAAAGTGATTGTCACAGTCCACATTTTATGGGTGGGGTAACTGAGGGTGTGGTGCAACTTGTTTGTGGCAGCACAAAAGCAGGCATGACCCTAATTGCTAATCAAGGACATTCCTTGCTGGTTCTTTGTAATGAATATTCTGAAGACAATTAAGTCAAACAGCTGCCAAGGGGTGAAACCTGTGTCCATGGGAAGATGAGACCCCAGTGGCACACTGTCCTAGCTAGTACTCAGTAGACTCTTGGCAGTGTCTGCAGTTGGCTCTGCCAGTGAATCTTCTTTGCGGATCCTATCCTGGACTCCTTTACCTCCTTTGCAAAGAGTTAATCTCTATCCTGGATAGGAGCTGAGCATTCCTTATCCAACTGAGGCTTCTCCTGCTTGTGCTATGTTGGATGGCTCAAGTGCTGGTAGACAAGGTAGATTTAAGTAGTGGTGAGGGCACTGCTTGCCTGGTGAGCAGCAGTGCTGTGCTCTAACATGCCCTGTTTGACCTTGTTCTATAGCTCATCTGGCAGCTGTGGAAGGACACTTGCATTGCTTTAAGTTCTTGGTCAGTAAAATGGCCAGTGTCATGCACACACTGGAAGCCAGGAACGACCACGGAGAGACTCCAAGGGACTTGGCTGAACGATTCTATAAAGATAATATTTTGCAATATATTGATGGTCTGGAAAAAGAGGAGCAGCATCCAGAGGCCCAGGAAGGTAAGTATGGATCAAGATACTGTTAAAACAGGCAGTGTAATTCTATAGAAATAATTAATTCTGAAAATTGTACGAGCATTTAAATAACCAGTGTAAGGGAGAGCTGCCCCCTTCCATACTTGATATACTCACTGATGGCTAAATCCTGGGACACTCTGTATGAAGTGTCTTAGGTTTGCCCATTATTGAAATAAAACTTGTACTATATTGCACTGTGAATACCAAGTTACACATTCTTCTTAGACTTGAGTAGACATCCAGAAGAGCTGTATAATTTTAATGAGTTTCCAGATTTGCCTGCTCAGCATCTCTTACTTGCATTGAATAGCAACTTAGCCTGGAAATGTCCCACTGAAATGAAAGTTACTCACTAACCAGCAGTACTGCTGCAGTCAGAGCAGCTGAGGGATGCAAGTGTGGCAAGGACTGTGGGGAGAAGCTTCACAGAGCAAGGATATGAGAAGTGCACCTTCACCTCTGCACTTTTTCCAGGCACCTACTGTCTTTATCTGTTAGTCTTTTCTCATTATACATGTAAGTATATATGTCAGTACTATAAAAAATAGCTTAAAAAAATAATGTGTATGGGTAGTTTTTAAGCAAGGAGAAGTAAAATAGCTTTTGCATTTAATTAGATTATAAAATTCAAACCAGGGAGATGACTCCAGTTACATCCAGTAATACAACATCAACTGTAAAATAAATGTATGCTTTTTATTCCAGGCTTATGAAATTAATTTCTTAACTGTATAAAATGCCTGTAGCCATAACCAGGACTTGTTTAGTCAAGTCTATGATGAAACCTGCTAGTTATGCAGCTGCATTTCAATTGATTAAGGGGACAATAACCTTTCTAACTGCAGCTATGAACTTATGTCCATGCATAAGTTGCTATGAGAGAGGCAAGCAGTGAGACATTGTTTAGTGGAATTACTGGCATCTGTGTCAATTTCATTTTCAGTTTTAGCTTTCCCAGCCCACGATGCTGCTTTCAAAGGGGACTTATTAGTGCTTAGAAGATTAGTGAGAAGTGGAGTAATCAATATTAATGAGCGGGATGATAAGGGATCCACTCTCATGCACAAAGGTCAGTAATGATGATCTGTGTTTCAGCTTGTTACTGGTTGTTGCTGACTTGTTTACTTAGTTTTTCAAGTGGCTGCTCATCAGAAAGTGTTATTGAAAAACAGCATCTCATTTCTTGAGGACTCAAAAGGGCAACCCTGAAAAATGTATTTTTGTGATGTATATGTGCATAGATGTCACTTAAAAAATAATCAAGCTGAAGAAAGGAGAGTTTGCATTAAAGAGAAAACAACATCTAAACTGCAAACTAAGTCATTTTCAATTAGGTGACTTAAGAAACACTGACTAGCAAGTTATAAGAATGGTCTGCATTGTGGCCTGGACCTTTATTTACTGAACATGTAAGTTCTGTTGAGATGTGTTGTAAAAACCATAACAAAGTCATCTGGTGGGAGGCTGTGAAGGAAAGTAAACTTCTGGTATCTGACATCTTGATACGTAGAGGAGCATGAGCATTACAGAAAAAGGGTCCTTTTGTTTCTGAGGGTTTCATAGTAATGTCTGAAAGAAGAAATGGGAGAGGAAAGGAAGAGGGAGGTATTCTTGCAATACGCTTTTAACACTTTTTCCACACTTCTTTTCAAATAGATATAAATGGTAGAATCTTAAAAAAACATAATTGAAGTTTCAATTATAAAAATGTATGCCTTGCTTTAAAAAGTGTTTTCTATATTATCTCCCACCCACATTTCTTGGAATTGTGCTAACCTACAATTGTTTCATCCCCAATCTTTATGTGCAATATTGGAATGATGGGGAAATCCTGCTGCTGATTGTGATTTCATTTCCAAGTCTCAGTAAGAAAACAAATCTGGCAAACATCCAGAGAGGGTGCTGTCTAGCAGTGGATTTATTCTTCCTTGAGAAGGACTGCTTGCAGGATTCGCGCTAGACATGTCAAATACTGTCTTCCATATTTGAGACATCATTCCTGGCACCATGTGGGATGAGCAGGAGCCATGCCAGATCATGATTAGGCAAAGCTGTTGGGTTAGGCTGCAGCTGAGAATCATAGAATCTGCTGAGCTGGAAGGGACCCATCAGGATCATCAGGTCCCATTCCTGTCCCTGTGTAGGACACCCCAAGAATCACACCATGTGCCTGAGAGCATTATCCAGACCCTTCTTGAACTCAGGCAGGCTTGGTGCTGTGACCACTTCCCTGGGGAGCTTGTTCCAGTGCTCAACCATCCTCTGGGTGGAAAAACCTTCTCCTGATATCCAGCCTAAACCTCCCCTGAGTCTTGTCATAGGTCACAGGATTGAAGATCAGGACCTCCCCCATCTCTTCCCCTTGTGAGGAATCCATAGACTGCAATGAGGTCACCCCTCAGCCTCCTCTTCCCCAAGCTGAATAATCCAGGTGACCTCAGCTGCTCCTCGTAAGTCATCCCATCCAGACCCTTCACCATCCTCGTGGCTCTCCTCTGGACACTTTCCAATAGCTTGATGTCCTTTTTATATTGTGGGCCCAAAATTGCATGCTGTACTCAAGGTGAGGCCACACCAGTGCAGAGCAGACAATCACGTCCCTTGCTTTGAGTGTCTGGCCCAAAAAAAGTACCTATAGCTACAGCACAAAGCCCTGGCTTCTCTCCTCCATGAGACAGCACCACACACCATGGATCAGGGCAACCAGCTGTCTCGCCATAGGGAGCCCTGAGCCAGAGAGAAGTGACAGTGCTTTGCTGCAAATCCATGACATAATCCAGGCTTTACTACAAGAGTGTGAGGCAGCAGTTGCTTGTGTGTCTCACGCTCTGCACATGAGACTGGGCAAGTTTAGTTTAACTCATGTTCAGGAAGAGTTGCCAGTAAATTTCTGAAACTTGAGAGAGTCACAAAACCCCACTGCATGATTTTCCCCAAAACTGCAGGTACCCATGTGACTTGAGCATCCTGAAATAGAGGCTTCTCTTGAAACAGAATCATGGAATGGTTAAGGTTAGAAGGGACCTTAAAGATCATCAGATTCCAAACTCTCTGGTATGAGCAAGAACACCTCCCACTAGACCAGGTTGCACAAATCTTCATCCAACCTGGCCTTAAACAGTATCTTCCCTGTGGTGTCTTAGTGAACCCGGCCTCTGACATGTCAAATAATGATCAAATGATGACATTTTGGGTTTGAAACACTTCAGTTGTTTGTAACTTGCTTGTGTGCACTTTCCTTTCCTTAGCCGCTGGACGGGGTCATATCCATTGCCTACAGTGGTTGATTGAAATGGGAGCCAACTGTGACATTACAAATGATGCTGGAGAGACTCCAAAGGATGTAGCAAAGAGGTACATATCCTGTAGCTCTGTCATTTATTTACTTAGTATTTATAAATCAACATCATGACAACTTTGTTGGAATGACTCTTGATTTTCAGTGATGGTGGAAGAGCAGATCAGGCCCATGAATTTCCATTCTGATTGATAAACAAAGCTCCATTGTAGCTGTTAAAGGTTTTAATTTTCACATTTTTTTCTTGAGCAAGATCAGACATAGAAGTTGAAAACTAGCTCATCTGCAAAGGGAGGCTATAGGCTGTTATATCCCAGCTGTACAAAGTAAATGAGAACTAGCAAAGGCCAGAGGATGTTTGCATTAATGGCAATGATGCAGTTTCTGGTGTGATTCAATTAAAAAAATCTGCAAAGGAAGAGATACATCTGATGTGGGAGTAATTGTCATAAGATTCCAGAGCTCATGCCATCAACATACTACAGAAAGCAGATTAGCTGGTCATGTCTTTTGTACCAGTGCTTCCTTTAGTCCTGAGCCCCCTTCTAATAAATGGGAACATGAAGAGTTTCAGAGAGTTTCTATCACACGCACGGCTACCTTTTCCATATGATGGGGGTATTTCAGTGTAGGTTAACTGTTCTCTGTGCAGATTTGCCCAGCTGGCAGCTGTGGAGCTTTTGACACAAAGAACTGGAGACAGTAACTCTAGTGATGAAGAACTAGATGCAAACAACATCAAGTTTTTTGAAAGACATGGTGTGGAAGGGAGTACAGATAGCAAAGAAGATTTAACCCTGGCTAAAGCCGAGAAGAGGAACGCACGCAGTAAGCACTGTCTTTCCATCACTCCTTATTTGAAAAAGCTGGACTCAAGGCATCATAGTCCTAGTTGCACAGTTTCTGCCAACTGCTGTGACCTTTTGAGATGAGATAGTTGACATGATATCAGTGCCACTGAGCATTGAAACTAATTGTGGAAAATTGGAAAGCACAGCAGAAGGCAGAACACAGTTGTTAAATTGTTTTAATCCGTGTTGGTGAAATCATATTGGATTGCTGCCTATTTCTGAGATCTGTTTGCTGCGTGGGTGTCAGGTGTAGCTCAGGATTTGCTGAGCAATGTGATTCCTGCTCTGTGTTTGTGAGACTATTTTCCAGACTGCTGGATTCCAGCATGACTGTCCTCACCATGCATCTCACCTACCTGGAGAACTCTGTCTTACAGTACGGGCCTATCACAAGATTCAAGAACTTCAGCAACTTCTTGAAATTGCCTACAGCAACTACAGACAGCTGGGAGGAATAACTGAAGAGGAAAAGAAGATGAAAAAAGAAGAGAGGGAAGCTGAGAAGTAAGGTTAACTTGCCCTGCTAATGTTTAACTCTGTGAGGCCTGTTTTAGAGCCTTTTTACACTCAAATTGCTTTGGCCAATCTGTCTTTTCCACTTAACTACTCTAGCCAGCACAAAAAGAAATGGACCTCAGCAATTTTTCTGACCATTTCTAGACATCTACCACCAAGATTAGCTCCATAGCACAAAACAAATATTTGATGGGTCCACACTTGTTGTGCTTGTGCAAGATTATCTATTCTGCTTTCAGATTTTCCTGCCTTCATATGCTGCAGCATATGGGCAGTAGGTCTGATAAACCCTGGCTGTTTTGTTTGCATTGAGGATGCCAAATATATATATTTATGTATATATGCATATGTGCACTTAAATAAACATGAAAGAAGGCATTAGCCTTAATGTGGCTTGGATGGAAGTGCATATACTGCAGAAATTATTTGATTACCTGCTACATTTCTCTGTCAAGGGCAATATATTTCTATGCTCAATGAAGCAGTAGCTCATATCCAAACCACAGAAAAAAGAAATCTCAGCAAACCTGCCCTTGCACATGAAGCACTTTTCATAACATCTGATTCTCAGGGTCCCCATTAAATGAAAGGGTTCTGTTAGATTGGTCAGGTGGTTTGATGGGCAGACTGTCTAGGTTTCAAAGAGAAGCCCTTCTGTCTCTCTAGAGTAATGCAGCATCCAAAAGACAGCCCTGTCTCCACCTCTACCTCTTAAAGATTTGGCTACCCACTGTTCTCAGTCTCTCTAGATAACAACTTCCACTTGTGTTTGCACCCCTGCAAACCAATGTCTTCAACTGATCACTGAGAAGAGACTGTATCTAGAGGGCTTGTATGCCATCAAGAAGACAGCAGACTTGCCAGTCTGTGTAGATCTGGAGCAGGTAATAGGTGTCCCAGATTGGAATGACATACTTAATTTTACATCATCATATCAGCCAAAAAACTGAGATCAGGACTTCTTTGGTTCCAGATCAGCCTTTGGCTGAAAGTGCATCTTCCTTTACTTGGTATGGTTGCAGTGTAGACATCCACATCTGAGTTAGTTACCTTGATCTCCTTTTTAGCCTCCTTGACAAGGTGTAGGCATATACCTTTCAGGGCATAACTAGACTTGTAGTTCAGGATGATATTCACCAGTTCTAGGAGTGTGTCTCCTGGCTTTAAAGTAGCAGGATGACCAGCTCAGATGTTGGTGTCCGCATTGGAAGGTCAGAGCAATCTGTTTGCAGTGATAGGGAAAGTCACTGACAGCAGAAATTGCAGATCATTTTTCACAGAGCAGCTACTCAAAGGTTATAGTGTTCAGTAGGGCTATGAAAAGGCTCTTTCAGGGATTTTGCAGCTAATCTAGAAAAAGTGTGAGGATCTACAAAGGGTGTCTCTCATCTGCGGAGGCCAGAGAGCATACCTAGCTCTACACTGGCCTTTTGAAATGGAAATACTGCTTCTCAGCATACCTACCTACCCTTCTTGGAGTACCTACCCCTGGATAAACTCCAAGATGCTGTTATCATATGCCAGAAACCCTAATTATTTGAAAATATTTAGTAACAACACCATTTTACTTGATGAAAAGCAAGAGTTGCCATTTGGGAAGGCCACTGTAGAACATTTTTTTAAGAGATTCCTGCTTTAGTCCAGGTTTTCTGGCTGCAGAGTGCTTCAACTAGGCTGCATTGCATGGAAAACATTATCACCATGTGTATGTCACATCATTTTGAAGCTGAGTCTTATTAGCCTGAAGGATGTAAGAAGTCAGCCTGTCCCCCCCAGGCACTGGTTTCCCTGCCTGAGGGGGGCTGATGCAGCCTGGTGGCTTTGGGCTGTGTGAGTCAGGAATACTTCAGTCCAGGAAATGTGGCAGCTCTTGCTGAGACGTTTGGATCCACAGGGCAGACATCTCCCTTTTCCTTTTACCAGTCTTCCATCTTTGTAGCTGTGCTAATTCATCCTGTTGCACAGGAGAGCCAGCTCTACTCCAGATGACTCAGTTGCTGAGGTCAGTTGCTGTTATAATAAGAATAGATGTGAATTATGGCTCAGTTAACCAGTTCCAGGAATCTCAATTAGGAGCCCTTGTGGGTGTGACTGATGAGATCTTGTGTATCAGCCAGAGCTTCAGGTTCCCTGTTGTCATGCAGGCTGTCATCTGAGTATTTCTCATCTCTGGCTAAGCCAATCCATAGGAAGGATGTAGAAGAAGCACACATAAAGGAAAAGCTGCTCCTGACTATAAAGACCCAGGGACGGCAACCCAGGGAGACTCAGATCAGACTCCCTTGCTTTCTAAACTCACAGAGGACCCCAAGTGCAGCTGGATCCAACCTTTGTCTCAGACCTGGCCCTTCCAGGGAGAGGGATTAAAATGCCACAGTTGGAGGAAATGCTCGACCATCCAATGCCCCTTGATCAGATTAATGACATTCAAGGTCTGTGTTTGAATATCAGGTTTAATTAAAGCTATAGAATAATAGGGATACTTCAGTTGTTATCTCAGCCTGCATGATCATAAAGGCTGACAATTAGATCACACGAGTACAATACATATATGTTTAAGCTGCACAATCTGAGGAAAAATCATCGTTAGGCTTTGTTTTACTTAATGATGTTAGGAAGGAAGAGAGAGAGAGAGTAGGAGAAGAAAAGTTTATAGGCATAGATAACAGAAAATCACCAGCCCTGGATCCAGCACTGGGCCAGCCAGTGGGGGGAGAGTTGGTGCCAGTGAGACTCCCCAAGCCCACCATTGCAGCCCCCTGTTTTATAGGCAGTCTCCTTGTTTCACAAGGATGAGCAAACTTGTTTGAGTCATAAGTTTGAGCAGCTGGAGAGGACCTGCCCCCTCCATCCTTATCTCAGTCGCTGCCCATGCAGCCTCAGGCCATGTGCAGCCATCAGTGCAGTCTCCATCCTCCCAGGCAGGCCTTTTGGGATACAAACGAGACTTCGTTTAGGGGTTACAATGGGGTTTCTACACCAATTCCAGCACGTATGTGTCCTGAAGGCTGGTCCCTCGCACTGACCTCTCCAGAATCCCAGTTGTATGCTTTTTTCCCCCTGTGCTTAATACTGTTTTTCTTGCTCCTTGAACCCTCCCTCTTCCACAGCCGGAGATGGCTCTGGGTGACCGCGTACTCAAGACACCGGCTGTGCCTCAGTGTGTGGGAAGATGTCTCCATCTTGTGGTGGGACTGCGCTGAGCACAGCTGACAGCGAGGGAGGGAAACCAGCCGACTAGAGCTGTTGCAAAGGGGTTTGGGCCAGGAGCACGCTGCGCTTCCCACCAGCACAGTTGGTGTGAGGAAGGCTGCGCTGCTTTCTGCTGTGACTAAACTTCCTCAGCAAAGGCACAGGACCACGTGGAGTAGCTAGGGCAGGTCGGGAGACGCCTGATGCTCTGCTCTCTGCTTTGCTTTTGTCAGGACTGTGAAGCAGCTGGAGGCCCAGCTGGCATATGAGCGAGTCAGGCGGGAGAAGCTGGAGAGCCAGCTGGATGGCTGCCGTGCCGAGATAAACCGTCTCAGAGAGAGCCTGGAGAAAACCCATGTCCGCTCTGCTCTGCCCCTGGTGAGTGACATGTGAGCTGCCCCAGAGTGTGGGACAGAGGCTACTGCTTGTTGCTTGGGCATGTTTTTTCCCCTAAGATTCCCAGGCATAGTGCTAGGAAATACTGGAGCGAATGTGCTGGCAGCTTTTAGCTTGGAACACTGAAGTGAGCAGTAGGTTTTGTCACATCCTGACTGTGTCTCCACTGCAGGAGGTTTTCAGTTTCTCTTTGTACCCTGGCAGAGGAGCACTGATATTCTTCATCATCGTTAATGAAAGGGAGTGGACTGATCCCTGAGTGCTTCCACACTGCACATGCAGTGACTGGCAGTTAATCTTGGCTGGTATCTGAGATTGCACTGGTGCTTCAGGAGGGGTGTTGTCACCACCAAAAGGGTTACCTGGTACAGAGATTGCAACCGTGGGTGTGTAGGGTGGTGTAATGTACAAAGACACACAGGCTTTTATCCTCTTTAAGTTTCTCCCCTTTAATACAGATTACTACAAATACCACAAAAATCACCACCAGCAAGTGCACTGCCACAAAATCTCCACTAGCCAGTGTCGAGTGAAGGCACAAGCCAGGGTGTGTGTGTTTGACAGATATGTAGCTGAACGGCTCAGTATGACATGGATGTGTGGTTGAGGGGTGGAACCCTCCAGTTGAAGCCGTAAGATTTCAGGCTACAGCCCCTTGTTGTCCCAACAACCCTCTCACACAGGGGCACTGGGGGCAGCTGGGCTGCAGTCTTATGTCCCAGGAGTTCATCAACAGTTTATGAGTAAAGGCTCATGTGTTTATGTGTGTGATCACTGAACAATGTCTGTCTGTCCCACTGTCCTCAGGTGAGGCCTGCCTGAGAGTGGATTCACAAAGTGGCAAATACAAATAGATACAAATGTAAGGTAATTTATTAAGGTGACAGGTGTAACAAGCTCAAGATAGCCTTTGGTAAATGCACTGATCACAACAGTGCTACTAAGAGATGTTGTTAATATTGCTAGCAATAATAAGACCATGTATACAATACACAGGGGATGCTTTCATCCCTAAAGGTGAAAGTCGTGGTATCTTACCCAAGGTGTCCCTGCCTGGGGGAAAGAAGAGTGGATCAGGCCTGTGACTTGCTCCAGGGGAGATGCTCTTCTCTCCCTGAATAAAGGCTTCAAAGACTAATTTAACCCCTATTGACAAGACAGGACTCAGGTCATAACTAGTATTGATTGGTTCTTAGCAGACTAATGATGTGTATTAATTAGGAAAAAGGTAAGGGAGATGCCCAGTGCTTGCTTCACATGTAAAGTCAGGCTTTGTTAAGGCCCAGGGCTCACTCTGCAATCACAGACAAAGTCACACAGGCTGTGCTCCTGGCCTTTATCACAGGACCTCTATCCCTGGAGCCCTCCCTATACCTCAAAGAGTCATGAGCAGTTGGGCCATGTAGACAAGGACAGGATGTGTCCCTTCCAGCCAGCCAGTCGGGCCTGTCCCTAATGGACACAAATTAGCTACTTGTTGCCTCCAAGGCTGAATGCCTCACGGAGCACTGCTCCTCTCGCTCTCCTCTGCACAGGACCTTCCAAGACAGTTCAAACAAAGCTCCATACAAGTTCTGTTCTCCCACAAAATCTTATCTGGCTGTAACTGTCATCCCATGCCCTGGGACTGTGCTCTGCCCTCAGCTTCAGTTTGAACACAACACTCTGTGGTTACTCAAAACCATGTACTTTTAAATCCTGTCTTATGAGGTAGCAGGTTTAAGTGATTGCTGTTTAATGGCCGAGAGATCCTTTCTTTCAGGAAGCTGAGACCATCACCAAGTCTTGCAAAGAGAAAAAGAAAGTGAAGAAGAAACCAGCCTGCAGCCCTGGAGGGGTGTGTGTGAGACTGCGCTGAAGAGTGAACCCCCACAGGTGGCAGGCAGGCTAAAGAGGCAGAATGGCAACATTCCAGACAATGCCAAGTGTTTGCACAGTCAGCTCCACAGATGAGTTGTGGTTCTGTGTATTTTGTTGAACTGTATTTTTAGTTCTCTGGGATAGAAAATATTTTTAAGAGCAGAAGCTTTTTTTTTTTTATTTAAAAAAACAAAAAGGCAGAAAGGCTTTTCTTCCTGTCCAGGTAGCAGTTTAGCAAGTTTTTACAGATTATCATTCCTACATAAACCAGCGATTCCTTTGAGGTGCCAGATGAACTGCAGCAATGGCCCCTGAGACTACTTCAGGGCTGAACAGTTTGCTACATCATGGGTGTGTTGTGGTTAGACAGTAATCCTGACCTCTCCCCCATGACTAAAAAAACACTGCATGACTTCACATGTACACATTTTTCTCTATGTGCTATTATGAAATGGCTTTCCCTTTGGAACTCTCATCATGCACATCTCAAGACTTCTGATTTCCATGATGTTAAATATTGAAATTATTAATTAATGCTTGAATCCTGATCTGTCCTCTCCTTCATTACAAAAGCAAACTTAATATTTGAGAATCTCAAAAGTACTGAAGAAAAATACATGGTTTTGTGTGCACAGACTGAGGGAGAGGGATGCTGAGTAACAGCATAAGCCTTCATATCAGAGTATCAAGAGAAATCCAGTTTCAAAAGTCGACTTCAGTGTGTAGGGGGATGATATTGGTGAGAAGTTACAGCAAATGGGTATCTCAAGATATTCCACATCCAAGGAAGAGCAATGAAACTGATGAAGGGTTTGGAGCACAAGTTGTATGAGAAGCAGCTGAGGGGAGACCTTATTGCTCTCTAAAACTACCTGAAAGGAGGCTGCAGGGAGGTGGGGTTGATCCCTTTTCCCTAGTAACAAGTGATAGGACAAGAGGAAATGGCCTGAAGCTGCCAGGGGAGGTTTAGACTGGATATTAGGAAAAATTTATTCACCAAAAGTGTTGTCAGGCACTGGAACAGCCTGCCCAGAAAAGTGGTGGAGTCACCATCCCTGGAGGTATTTAAAAGACATGTAGCTGTGGTGCTGAGGGACATAGTTTAGAGGTGGACTTGGCAGTGTCAGTTTTATGGTTGGATTTGGTGATCCTAGAAGTCTTTTCCAAGCTAAATGATTCGATGATTCAGAGAACCTCAGAAGTGGTTATAGCTTACACAGAGGTGGATTTGTACACACAATGGGTACAACAGCCACCAGCTGAAAGCATTGCTGCCACCACCTGCCTTCTGACACACACATACAACAGAAAAAGCAGCCTTAGCTCCCAGTACAATGGCACAGTCTGGTAATCTGAATACAGATCTCTCAGGTAGTCAGATAGCAAATATAAGAAATTAATTTTATTTTCTTAAATGAAGATGATAAATAATTTAATGCACAGAATAGAAGAACTGGCAAGATACCAGGAAGTTCAACTGTAAACAGAATAAAACTGCAATAAAAAAAATTGCCACTAAAAGTACTACATTCTCTTTAGCTCACAAAGGGCCTACTCTTAAAAGTTTAATCTAGGAAGGTATTTTTTTTTTAATTATTATTTTATTAAAAGAATCAAACCAAGCATATGCATTTGTACTTAACAAGGTGTAACTGCTTCAGTTCTGGAAGGCATCCACCTACCACGTCCCATCTTTGCAATGAGTTGAGAAGTCCTTGCAGGTGGTAGAGGGGTGCTCACCCAAAGTTAGGAGGGTCAATGTGTCCCACAGGATTACAGAACAGTCCAGAGGAGTGTGGAGATGGGAGAGGATCAGCACGACCACCACACTGGCACCATGGGAATGCTTTGTATTTCCGTGTTACAAGCCAGATCCTATGCCCAGAAAACCTGCGAGGGTTTATTTGAAATACTCTGCACTCCTCGGAGGGAGGAGTTAAGAGCTGTACACAGTTGCTGAAATTGGAGGCATTTCCCCTTGGAAAGACTAAGAGAGAAGTTCTCCCAATCTGCTGATCTCTGGGGTTACAGAAATGGCAAGAGCTACTAAAAAATAAATCTACAGAGACATTTTGGTTCTACATGAGATTTTAAATTTATGTAAACCAGTTTTCCAGAAAAACAAGGGTTCTTTAGTAAAGGCCTTGGAGTGTGTTTATATATAAATAAAAAACCCCACAGGGCCAGGCTTCAATCTGTCAGAAAATGGAGGAACAGACAGAAGGCAAAAATTCAGATCCCATATTTAAGATTAATTTAATTGAATCAGAGTAGATCTGTTGGAATCTGGCAAGGGCATATTTATTGTTTAATATTTCCATTTCAGGAAGAGCTGAGAGTGAGAACGTTCCTTTAAGAAGATTCCAAAATAAACCATAAAATTAATTCTAAAACATATTAGAACACTTCTGATTCAGCATAAGTCCTCTGAAATAAGTACAGTCTTCAATAGGGGAACACGAAATATTACTATTTCCCAAATTCCTTCTCCCCAGTTATTCTGATCTTTAGTGTTACATATTAGAGCACATTTTTAGTGCACAGTAAGAATATCAAACCAAAAAGGTACCAAGGTTATCTACAGTGCAAACATGATTGTTGAACTGTTGTTGCTTAGGTGACTTTTCTCCATCTGTACTTGGTGCAGTCATTCCATTTAGATCTATTTCCAGAACCTGTAAAATCCCAGTGCTATTGCTAAGCAAGTGAATACTGAGGCTGTTAAAAACAATTTAAAAAAAGGAAATAATTAGCTGAATGCTAAGTTGTATCACCTACATATTTCTACATACAGGAAATTAACTGCAAACAGATGGAAGAATGATAATAACTGTCTCCTAAACTTCCTGAATTGCTGCAGATGTGACAGAATAATTTTAGAAGACAATGACTTGTCTTAGAGGTAACACTGGGCACTGCAGCTCTGCCCAGGTGTCAGATGGGAGGTCAAATTCAGCAGCCTGAGGAATTGTGTTTCCAAGGACACATCTAAGTAACTACAATAGGCTACAGTAACTTTTCCTGTTGTCACCCATCTATTGGAAATTGTATTACAGGAGAGATGGCTGTACCAGGTGTTGCCTTAGATGCAATTAAAATGATTTCCCACTGAAAAAAATGAACTGAAAATGTGTCTGACACAACACTAGGATATCTCTGAAGATGAGCTGTCTCAGATTTTTTAAGTTGCTGTTTCAATTAGTATTAGAATAAAGGTAATTATGTTTCCCTTTAAACTTGTTTTCACTTCCAATTTTAATGCATTACTCTCTTTTCATGCAGCTACAACGCCATGAAATTTCACTGGTTATTGATATATTGAGAAGACAATCTCAAAACAGACTGAAATTTGTTCTGCTTGGCATGGGCAAGTACCACTAACTGCCACACTGAAACTTATGTGTCCATGGAGGCAGAACTGGGCACTCTCAGACTACTGCTGAATATCAGAAAACTTTCAGGGTAACTTCAATAAGCTCACGAGAATGGCTGGAGCAATCCTGCCACATCAGTAGCTGCCCTGCAGCAAGCAGAGGTACTGTCAGACTAGGCAAGGTATTTAGGCTTCTTTCCTACTCTTTAAAAAAGTATCAAAAAATCATGTCCATGTTCCTCCTACTGCCCATTCCGGGAGCAATCCCAGTCCAACAGCAGCAGTGTTTGCACGTTCCCACCTCTCCTGTGTTCTCTGCCACATTTCTTTCAAGTGGGGAGGATCCCATCTTCCCCCTTCCCCTCAGTCCCAGTTATCTGCTGCTACACAAATTACTTCTTGAATCTACTTTGCATATATTCTTGAATAGATATTTATACATCCAAAACACAACACTGGTACTCACCTCCTTGCCTACCACATACCTGCCAAATAACGTATTGTCTCGAGTTTATTCGATTCCATGAGTGTTTTTAAGGAAGCTATTTCAGTGTCAATTTTATTACTGATTTCTGAAATGACACTGTTGGTACTTGAGTCCTGAAATATTAAAAAATACAGTATGTTTGACAATGATCTCTAGCACTTTCAGCTTTCCAAAGCCAAACAAGAATACCATGTTAGCAGCTACATGAGAGAGAAACAAGATTTCCAGTGTATCACTGAAGTAAAATACGTAACTGCTAAGAGACCTTAGGAGACATGAAACAGCATTTAATACAATCCAGGAATATTAAAAAGAGAGACAGAAAAGAGAAAACTCCAATCATACAGATTTTTGTCCCTAATATCACAGAATTCTTGAGGCTGGAAAGACCTCTGAGATCATCAAGTCCAGCCTATGACCTAACACCACCAAACTGGCTAGACCACTAGGTGCCACATCCAGCCTTTCCCTAAACACCTCCAGGGATGGTGACTCCACACTTCCATTTCAATGCCTGATCACCTTTTCCATGAGGAAATGCTTCCTAATATCCAACCTAAACCGCCCCTGATGCAGCTTCAGGCCGTGCCCTCTCCTCCTGTCACTAGCTACCTGGGGGAAGAGCCCGACCCTCACCTGACTGACCTTCCTTCAGGTTGTTGTAGAGTGCAAGTGCCTTCTAAAGGAGGCTTGATCCAGTACAGAAATGTATCCAGAATTTTTTTTGCAAAACAAAGGCTTAAGAATTCATAAGCCATATCCAGAAAAGGGAGGACATGCTGAGGATGGGACTCGTCTTCAGCACCCACCAGCAGCTCTGGGGACTTCCAACCCTTGAAACACTTTGCTCAGCTGCAGGCACACGAACCATCCCTCCAGTACAGCTGATCAGCTCATCTGTCAACACCAGGAAGGGCAGCGGGACAGCACCCATCCCACCCCTAAAGGTCTGTACTAAGATACTCAGGGAACAAGAGACAAGGCTCGTGTCCCTCCTACCCAAGTCTACCTGGCTGCAAATCCCACAGACCCCAGCAATGGACACAGCGCCACCTTCTGCTTTACCACGTTCAAAACTCCAGTGACTTTCAGTGAAACGGGGTTACACAAATGCAAGACACGACTGTGTCCTGCTCAGTATACACTAAGATTTGTTCAAGACTTACTTTTTTATGGAACTCTGTAGTGGCTTCCATCAGTTTCCTCTCCTGATCTGTAAACTGTGGATAAAAGATAAATGACAACTGTAGTAATGGAAAACAAGACACAGAACTGACAGGGCTACCATCACAGACCAGCTCACCATATCTGTCACTCTGCTTCTTTCCAGGTTTATGTCCAGCTTGCTGTCAGCTCGGATTTTACCAGTTTCATTCTTCAAAGCAAATAAAGATTATGAAAACAACTATTTACTTCCCCTCATAGGAGTCTGTAGGTACTTGCTGTTTACTTACCAACAGGTGCTGTTTAACTTGATCTAATTCAATTTTCATTTTCTAAGTGCAGAGGGGAAAAAAAAAAAGATTGTACAAGATCAGGAAACTGCTGAATGAGTTAATCAGTCCTGTAAGTGTCATCACCAGGTGCACACAATGACTCTTCTGTCATTTTTCTCCCAGTGGGGCAATTTGTTCTTGATTAAATATCCTAACTGGTGTATTCAATCTGCATAGCCAGATATAATCTGCTGGGAATTTTGCTCAAAATAATGGGATTATTTTGTAACAATGATTATATTGTTATTTTGAGTCTAAAGGCAGCAGAAAAATGCCAAAATGCTGTCAAGCAAAACCCAAGCATGTTTCAATCACCAGTTATTAAACTGTCACAAAGAAATGCCTGACTATCCTCCTTGCATTATATGGTTAACAGTGACAAGACTCACCCAAAATCACCCTTCAATAAAATTACAGATTATTCTAGGATATGTATTTTTTTTTACAGAAGAACTGAGCAAGTCTCACAACATTAAATATATATATGTGATCACAGATAATATACAAACACTTCAACTCTGATAAAAGCATCCATAACTACTTTTACATCCATATTTTTTCCACAAAAATGTCCAAGAGGTATAACCTGTTGTATATTACAATTTAAGTGCTTAATTAGAAATATTTATTAGTATTTATTTATATTTATTACCTCATTCTCTGCTCTCAAGTTTGCAAATTCACTTTTCTCCAGGATGACCATGTCTTTTCGAATGGAGTCCAAATGTGCCATTATCTGCTGTAAAGTTATTTCCTTAGGAACAATAAAACATGTCAATGATGAAGTTTCACATCTACTCTTTAAGTAAAGATTTTTATGTCTGAAATTATGCAATTAGCTACTGCAAAGCACAACAATGGGAAGACTCTTCAACAAGAAAGCAACTGAAACAGAATTTTATAGCTGCAATTTGAGACTCAAGAGGTTTAGGTTTGGGACTTTTTCTATTTTAATACAGTAACTCTGAATTTAAAGCCTGAGATGTTACTGTCCAAGTAACTATGAACTTAAATAGACCTGAAACTTTAGGCTAATCCTTCATTCTCTTTGATTTTCAATGAACATTTAGCAACCTATAAAGCATTAACTGCTGATTTGAATCCAGCTCCTAAGGAAGCACTTCAAT